AACTTCTAGCATGAGTACATGTGTAGAGCATAATTATGAGAAATCGCAAAAAGTAACATACAGCGAACAAACAGATATACATACCACAATCGTATGAATTTTGTTGTACAGGACCATTTAAAATGACAACTGAAAGGATTGATCACTAAAGGTGAATGCAAGAGAACTGAATTGGCATAATTGATAGTAGGAGACATCGAATTTGTTGAATTTAGAGGATCATAATAGGATAATGTTGTACCATTAGGATTTCTTGAAATTACACATAAAATCCAATGCTCTGAATGACAAATAGGTAAAACAATATCATGATGATTTGGATCAGTATACCGTTGTCGAATATCTTGCTCCATATCAAGAAAATGCGCTCCTCCATTGTAAATAGTTAAAACACTTACAAAATAGAAACTTGGTAGAATGGAAATCGTATTACAATATTGATTTTTAAACAAATGCAAAAAACCATTAATAATATCTTCATGAAGATATAAATCATAAGATGACCTCGCGGTTTCAATATCCAAACTTCGTAGGGTATCATTACTAATACTGAAGTCACCAATATTGATAGAATTTTGTTGTTGTTCAACTTGTTGTTGATTTAATTGTTGTTCAACAATTAATGGTGAATTTTTTTGTTTCGGCTCTATTTTACTAGATTTTTTAATTTTTGGTCTAGACACACGGATATATTTTTGACCTCTTAATCGGGCCATTTCTTTTACAACATTTTCATTTGGTCGATAATTAAGTAGATATTCAAAACTGATATTTTCAATGTACAGCCCAGATAAATTTCTTAATCTACTTAACGCTACATAAGCGGTTGCATCAAAATTTTTATCACTTAAATCGATGACCGCAGCATCAATAGTGCACCCTTGAACTTTATGAACAGATGAAGCAAAGCAAAGAATTAGAGGAAACATCTGCCGTTTTATTTTAGTACCATTACGTAAATCAAATTCACGTTCAACAGTCTTAACTAAAACAGTTTTATCAACCTTTTCAAATTTAACTTCAATTCCAGATGGATTACTATTACCGAGATAAGATTTAAGCCCAGGAATAGGCCAGTGAACATTTTTTACAACACCTTGTAACCCGTTAACCATGCCGGCTGTTATGTTAATATTCATAACAAGCATAACTTTGACTCCATCGCCGACAATTAACTCTGAAGGAAGACCTCCAGTATCTCGTACATTATCTCCTAACAAATTCTTGTGAATGGAACTTATTTCCTTACCCATATTTTTACCATTAACATAGGTATCTATTGCCTTAACAGTAACCAACTCAACTTTTTTTGAAGCTAACTTACCCAACATTACATTATTATAAGTTTTAACTTGATCTAATGTAGGATAAATATGAAGTATAGTAGATAAATACTCCTTTTGTTTTGAATTCAAGTTCAAATTATCAACAACCCGTGACGCTAACACAAGAAGTTGGTCATGGCTCAATTTACCCACCCTTAGACTATTACAAATAGACGTTAGAATATTATTTTTAGAACGATGATTAATATTTAATTCTAACAATTTAACATCTTTCCAAAAAATAAAAGCATCATCATTGGCAAAGATATGTTGACCTCTAACAGGCTTAAGTTGATGAAAGTCGCCAACAAAAATAACATTCATGTTTCCAAAATCACCATCTGTCCTACAAAATTGGTTACACCTTTGATTAATATAATTAAAATTAAGGGCACTAAGCATACTAATTTCATCAATAAATAAAAATTTAACAGATCTAAATTTCATTAACAAAAATTCAAATTTAGAAGACTCAATTTTATACAACCCATTGATGACATCGATTACTGGTAATTGAAAAATAGAATGTAATGTAAACTTCATATTGCTTGCAGCGATGCCAGTGGTGCACCAACAATAAAACTATTTACACTAATGATTTTGCAAGAATATCAGTCATTATTTTTAGAACAAAACTTTTACTGAGCCACCTTCACCAGAAATGAAACATTTAAAAGGTTTAGAATGCTCGAAAAAATAAACGGAACTTTCTTTAAAATATGTTAGGGCAGAAATCTGATCCTGTGAAAGCTCGTAGCATGAAATAACATTGTCAAAAGTAGATATAAAAGTGTCAATATTTATATCATTATCTAATGATTCCTCAACAATATTTGTAGAACTATTGTCATTTGTGATTTTCAATTCAATTTGCATATCCCAATGATGATTAAATA